TAATAAGTAAACTGGAGCAAAAGACCCAACCTTCATTTTTGTATCAGTCTGTTTCTCAATAAAACATTTTCTTTATCGAAAGGCGTAAACAGCATCCTAACTCTCAGCAAAGAAATAACAATTCTTTAGATACAATATCTCAACAAAAAACTTCTCTTCATTGAAAATACTGAGAAGAAATAATATCGTAAAGTGTAAGTTTAAAAAGGCAGGAAATAGAGTATAAGTAATGTAATGATATATAACAAATAAAATATCGAATAGACAGAAGTTAGAATTCATGAGCCATTGACATCCGTCCCAAGTGTATGAAGGTTCAACGAACTTAGTCTTATAACCTAAAAGTCCACGATTCTATCTCTTGTAGGCGCATATTACTGAGGAGTCCAAATTGGGACGAAACGGCTGCCCAGTAATCTCTGGCTCTCAGTGATTCTCTAAATGAAGTCAATTCGTGATTAAACTTGAAATGAACCATTTCCCTACAAACTAACTCTTGAAAAATAAATTATTCACTTGGTTTGTTGTGTGATGTTAATACTTGGGTTTATAAAGTGCGGAAGGAAGGAAGGAATCAAATGTATTAATACCCTAAGTCTCACTAATTTTTGCCATCTCTATTTGGTTCCATATTAAACCAATTCATTTTCTGATTGCCTCCAACCACCTAATACCAACAACTCACCGTGCGCCATGACGGCGAGCCAACAAGAATAGTGGCCATACTGCAAACTTGAATGGTAGAATTCAGTCTGCACCAAAGATAGGACTAGACACATTACACTAGTTACTGACTAGTATCCAATCAAAGTATCCAATGCAGTCAGTCCCACAGGAGGTCGGTCGCCAGCCAGAATAGCTCAGTGGTGACATCTGCGACTGCAGCAATGGGTGATGCGGGTTAGAATCTCTGAAGGGACACGAGTTCCTTCAAGATTGCAGATACGCCTTGTTGACGGTTGAGTGCAAACTAACCCGAAACCTAGGTCATGCAAGGCCTCCCGCCGATTATCTCCAACCATCTAATACCAGACTTAACACTCAGTGATGCAACACTAATAACTGAAATTACATTCCACCACAGTGCCCAATTTCTATACTTATATTATTGTTTCTATATGGCTCTTCAAAGAACTCTAAAGTGACAGAAGCATAATTTCGTTTCAAGCTTTTGCATGTTTTTTTTATTATGAAGGTCTGATTATTTATAAGAATGTAAGAAATATATTTTTTTAAAATTATCTGCAAATTGAATAGAATTCGCGTTTTACAGGTCACACAGTTCGAAGTAAAAATTCACCAGTTTTCTTTGAAGACTGAAAGTATTTTAGATGTACAATGCATGATCTATTTGATGGAGCAAATAACAGATTCGAAAGCAAGGGAAAAACAAAGATGGTATATGCTACCGGTGAACTACTAGTCCATCTAAGCAATTATTAAAGAATTAGGGCGGTTTTAACTGAATAGGTTTTCTAAGCTGAGTTCAACCAGGTGCACCGCTGATGAGCACAACTCCAAAGGAGTAAAAGCACTTATCAGTATTTAGATCACTTCTTTTTAGCTGGTAAGCGCCAAAAATTGATGTTAGTCATCATCAAGTAGTCATGCCAGTCAGTAATATGCTCTACCTTTCATGCTTATTATTTAGATTTCCCAGTATGTACACCATAACATGGCTGGCCTCCGACTACTCGTGTTTTCCAGTAGTTTGACTTAGAAGTGGATCAACAGCAATTCAGTACTAACTGTATACTTATTAATGCATATTTCAGGTTTGATTATGGACTAGCGCCAGTTAGAGAACTACTGAGAACCAGGGAGTACTGGACGGTTGTTTCGTCCAAGTCCGGAACTCTTCGTCAGTACACACCCATGCCTCCACCAAGGATATTTTTACTACTTCTTTCCTCTGTCATGAAACGAATAGACAGTTATTTCGGAATTATGGTGATTATTTCAGAGAAAAACAGATCTAGATCATAAAACAAGGAGGAGAAGAATTGTTAATGTCCAATTACTTTCAACAGTTTGACACATAATCTTAAATCTTTTCATAATTGTCTATTTTGTCTAAATGCTCACTACTGCAAAGTGAGAAAATGGGCTTAAAAAGATCACTATATTTGTCTTAGTTTGTAATTGCTTTCCAGCGGCTGAATGGTCTACGATCTCTCCTTGTGACTAGAAGGTTCTGAGTTTGAACCCAAGTGGGTGCTTAGTGATGAGAAGTCCCACACTAAGACGAGACAGCTGTCTAGTGCTGAAGAATGAAAGGTGTATTAAAAGCAATCAAATGTATGTAACTTATCAAAACTAATCAGATGTTGTTGTGTGTTGATTGGCCATCAGTAGACAATATGCTGCCTTGAACACGCATTGGCGGTTCGATGGTAGAATACTTTCCAACCACCCACGTGGTCCGGGATTCGATCCCCAGCCGACTCACCTATAAGTCTAGCTTAAATGGTAGTAGGCCTGCTAACAGCGAAGGGTGTATGTGAGGCTAGCGGACTTACCACTTAAAAAATAAACACCACTGAGAAACTGCGGCCTGCTTAAGCCAATGGGCTACATTAATTTTCTGTCCATTCAAATGCATCGTTTTTACTCAGTTTCAAAATGTTTTCATCTTCTAATTATCACAATGAGCCGGGTGGAATTCCAAATAAGCTTTTTCCCATGGCTAGGAGTTAATCTAAGGGAATGGTGAAAGAATGTTGTGGAGTAACAATGGAGCATACTTTGAATGGAACAATATAGCTTCGGGTGACGCATTAACGATTATTATATCAATTGAAGATTCTGCAATGAGACTCACTGAATATTCAGCACTGGGTATAAACGCATTTTTCAGAATAAAGCTGTTATTACAACGAGTGAAATGTGATTTTGTAGATTTTATCAGTTGGCTTTGATCCAAACAACTATGAAATTCATGCAAGACGAAAGTAAATTATGCACATTTTCATCAAGTTTATGGTGAATTTTTGTTGACAACAACGAGCAAAATAAATTGACCGTAATATATTTAGACCAGTTAAAGTGATGAAAATTGCAAAGAATTTTAGAGGGAAAAAAGGGCAAGGATTTCCTTTCGGAAAATGTGTTTAGGAATAGACAGCTACGAAGCTTTACCAAAAAGTGGTCGAACTTAATATCATGAATTGAGTGATTGTCAAACCGCAAGTACCACACTATAGCTTGAAAATACAGACAGTTGCGGATGTTTAACTCTAACTTTCAAGAATATTGATATCTGTCTTGGTGATAGTCAACTTTGAAGCTCTAGACCTAGGTTTCTTACTTATTGCCATTCACCAACAAGACATATCTAACTATTCTGAAAGAAGCGGTATCCTATCGAAGATTTAAACCTACATCACCTAGTTCTACAATCACACACTGGGCTATTCGAAATCATCTTTCTTCACGTTTCTGATAGTTTAATTTAACTGGTCTGCATTATACTGAGTCTACATTGCTTGGGGTTTATATATATATCTGCGGAAGCAGGTAAATTGGGAGAGCAGAAAGAAGGTCACACATCCGATTTTGTGAACATGTACCGAAATGCCTACGTCTCAAGGGAACAAATGCCTATAATAGTGCCATTACCAGACATCTCCTTGACACGGGCCATGAGATGGAAATCGTGAAATCCTTTAAAATTATCAATAGACAAAAAATCCAAATTCTGCTCGAGTTTGCCAAAGCAATTTCTATCAAACGCCTAAACCCGATTTATGTGTGTCAGAAAGAAGCAATCGATTAGTCTTTCCCTGCCCTGGTAACTGGTTGTCATTATTCTTTCTTTCAGTTAGCTACGTAATATTTGGCCTTAACCTCACCCCTTTAATAAAGTGTAATTTTGTTTGTCTCTTGTTTCTATGATTTGAGTTGAAATCAGTACGTTGTTACTTAATTTATTAGTCACTCTGCATTTTAGGCATCGTATGCATACATTTATTTTGTTTACACTTGGACTCGCTGTGTAAAAACTATATAAGCGCAATTTTCTGAGCACTGTTCGTTAATTACGGAACTTTCTGTCAACTGAAACTGTGAAAAAATTTGCAAGTATGTTAAGACTTTTCTGTACATAAACCTCATAATCTATTTAGACTGTAAGCAGTAGCTGATGAGAAGCCAAAGATGTAAACAATGATGGTACTATATTATTCTGGACAGACCACTGTTGTTCTTGCTTTATTGAAATTTCTTAACAGTTATATCATGGTATTCATATTTCTTAAATAAGATGGCTGGAGGCAATCCTCGAGAAGCCTTGGAACTAGGTTTCCTGCCAGTTGGTAGTCTTCAGAAAGGCATATATATCTCCAGCTTTAAAGGAACTCATATCCCTCTGAGATGTGAACCTGTGTCACCAAGTGCTTCAGTCAGAGACTTTACCACCGAGCTATTCGGACTGGCGATTGACCGCCTATAGGACTGTATTGGGTACTTTGATTGGAAAATAGTTAGTAACTAGTGTAATGTGTCTAGTCCAATACAGTCCTACAGGAGGTCAGTCACCAGCCTGGATAACTCAGTGATAACATCTGTGACTACAGTACTGGGTGGTGCGGGTTCGAATCGTAGAACGGATATGAGTTCCTTCAAGGTTGCACACACGCCTTGTTGACTGTTGAGTGCCAATCTGTGAAGCATTCATTTTGGTATTTTTTTTAGATTGTAAAAAGGTGGAGTAAATCTTTAGAATGAAATAAACTAAAAGATATTTTTAACATTCCTGAATTCCTGAGGTGTTAATTAAAAAGACAAAACCGATCGTATCCTCAACTCGACATAGCATTATTCAGTAATTCATTAGAATAACAGTTTTCTTCAGCATACGGGACATATGGAGAAGTTTAAACATAATTAAATGTGTGAATATATTTCCTAATTAATTTAATCTATGGCAGTCTAAAGTAATTCTATCATCAGTAGTACAGTGAAACACTCGTAAAAAAAGAAGATATGATTGTATGACTTACTTTAAGAAGTGATGAATGTAATAAAAGTTAGAGTTTTGATGTATTTATAAAGTTTCTTCTGCGGTAAGAGTAACCACTGGTTTATTCAGCATTCAACAGAAATCCTTGTTAGCAGTAAATACATATCCAAGGTATATTCAACTGTATTTTATATATATATGATTCTCAGTTTGTTAGAATGGCATGTATCGGTTATTCCTGTGAAATTAGAACATGAGGATGTGTTTTTTGTTTCTCTTTTTTTCCTTTTCAATCAGTGGTTTTTTAATCGGTTAATATTTTCCAATACACCTCTATATTTATTTGTACTTGTGAGTAGAGGTGTTAACGATGTTGACTAGGCTGTGAATAATGATAACAGCTAAAAAATGACTACTGAAACACCCATGACTTGAATATTCATCTAAGCATTATGCTTGGCATTTATCATTACTATTATTATGATTATGATGATTCTGATTAAATAGTATCGTTGAGATGATGTTGACTAGTCGAGAAGAGGTGATGAACGGAAGTCTACGCGTATACTACGTCTCACATACTGTATGTTTATTCATCACCAGTTAACGAAATATTCATGTTGTCTGTAAAGCATTATTACAGCAGTACTAATAATATTGTACTGTAAACGAAATTTATGTAATAAATATTTTAAAGGACTATAAGAATTTTGTTTCTTTAGTTTTTCAATGTGTTTATTGGTAGTGAATATTTTCAGTTAATAATATGAATGTTTACGTGTATATACATATATATGTATATGTGTGTGTGTGTGGGGGGGTATGTTTGCTTGTTTATTTATTACATAGATAAAGACAGGTGGGTGGTTTTGTGTGTGTATGTGTGTGTGAGTGAGTGATTGTACAAGTGTAGTTTATCAAAGCTCTTCTTTATGTGTACATTATGCGTTAAATGCAGCGGAGAGTTATTCTCATGTGGTGTAACATAAACTTCAATTGAACTTAAGGTCAGTATACTTGAACAAGCTTGATAAACTTCCGGATCTTGTAAAGATTCGAACCAAAAAAACACAATACAACAGTACTCTGTGTTCTTCAGATTGGTAGTCTATAATAATCTGCATTTTTATGTAAACCGTGACGAATAGTTGTAAATACGGCGAACGTAGAAGGTGAGAGATATTTAATTTGACTACTGGTGTACACAAGCTGCATGTGTACTGCGGCATTCACGATTACATTGTAGTCAGATCTAAGGATAGTGACAGGCCCGACTAGAACTAATGATTTGGATTTTTTGAAAAGTTAATTTTATATTTCTCAATGATTGATGACATCGAACTGAAACGCCTGGTCTGTGTTGACAATGTCGGTTCCTAGGACAGACGATATCTGGAGATTAATATGATGTGATTTGGTAGATGGTGTCCAGCGGTGGCATCCAGGGTGTGCATTTCGTCATATTCAAGACTCATCGACAAGTTGTACCTAAAATCCCCTGAGCATTCTGGGTTATTCACTATACCGTGAGAGTCAAGATAGTCTCTTAAGTCCAAGTGATGTAGTGAGTGATATTTTAGCGTTTGAAAGATCGGTAGTGGGTTCGAGTTTCAGTGGGAACATCATCACTCTCTGAGGACTGCAATTACACCCAGCCGACGAATACCGAATATGTCAGAATACACATACTGGATCCCAGTGCTAGTCATCACCCACTAAATGACATACGGATTGAATGTTTACTCACAAACAGTCACAAACACACAAATACGCATTCGAAGTGTTATGAAATAATCTTTGACTGGAAGTTTTTTCTTCATAAAATGGAAATAATGCACATGAGCTAGACAAAGTCAGTAAATAGCCCGAATCTCAGATAAATAATAATAATAATGTAATCATGATTTACTTTATTCCCAAAACAGTACTTGTGATACAGAATGGAATTTTCAGCATTCATCACAATATTTCATCTAATTTCCTCAAATCAGAAATAAAATTAATCACACTGAAAATTTTCCACATTTACAATAGAGATAATGTCAAAAACATGCAGCATATAAAATGGAAATAAATAATTATAACAGCTAAGGCAATAATAATAAAAATACAAGTGAAAATTGCCGTGGGCTCGTTTCACAATGTATTGTCAGTGCGGTATAGAAATCCTAGCATGTTTAAAAATATTGAGTATAATGTTCTCTTTACATGATATCGTGAGGGTAAAACAAAGATTACAGCAGTCATGGAGATAAGTTGGTGTTTGCAATTATGAGAGTAAAACAGAGAAGTAACAGGACCAAAAATATGATAGAAATAATAAAAGTAAAACTTGAATGTGCACAAGGATGCATGGAGGAAATTGTTTATTTACTAGATGAAAAAACGTTAATTAATTCTTGTCTGACACTATTTTCATCACATAAAATACGTACGAAGTATGGTATCATAGAATTTCTATACTTCGACGTGCGAGCATACAGCCGAGGGTAAAGTGGATGTTCCAAGTCAGACAAAATCCCTTTAGCAAATTTATTGCACGAAGTCAAGTGCCTATCGACAACGACGTTAACTATGTGGTTCACTTGGACACCACTCACCCTACTGACCGTCTTCGGCATTCTACGAATTGTGACATAGTCCTTTTTAAGCAAAACAGGAAAGAATAAGGGTGAACAATTAGGAAGAAGAATAGGTAGGATGCAAGAGTTTATGAACTGTAAGAGGAGGGGTTGAGTTATACCCGAGTGCCTTAACTTCTTAATGTAAAATGTCAGAAGGAATATTTTACTGGAGATCGCTAAGACATGGGAAGACCAGGAGAGATCAGAAGAGAGAATAAGTCCAAGATTTCTGATTTGATTTCTATATCATTGTCGTCAATCTTACAACTGTCATGAGAATGGATGACTTCTTTTAACTGTCTTTTACATCTTAAGCCGCGAGAGTAAGTGAAATTTTGCAATAAGAACCTTTAATATCCTCCCTTTAATCCCTATAGAAAAGCGTTATCTTAGTAATAGATATAATGCATTCATTATGTTGTAGTTTAATTCGCGTTCATACCACGGTCACCTAAGAATGGATTCTCATATGTGGAATCATCAAATGGACATAGACTTTTTAAAGAAAAATTACGAATGGATTAGGCTAAAGTAGCCTCTAGTGGATCATGGCGACTTCAATCAGCACAAAGAACAAAATTCGGATTTTATACACCAATGGTAAGTCAGTTCTCCCATGTAGGTTAAAAACTTTGTGGATAATGAAGAACATTTCTAACAAGCAGCAGACTTTTATCGACGGCTGTCTTTAATGGCTCCATAATGAAGAATAAATGGGTGGCCAGAAATGATAAGTAACAAGGAATTCTGGAAGAAAACCAGCCAGGAACTGCATTGCTCAACAGATATGGATAATTTTGATTACCTTAGCAAAATAGGGACTTTATTAAGTGATACATACAAATTTCAGAAATTATCAACTAACAAAGATACAACGGAGGGAACTGAGAGACAGTTAACAGGGTTTTTAAAAAATTTGAAACAACAAAGCCATATTCCACCTGCCTTGTATGAAACGCTAAAACCTGTAGGCACAGTGAAACCCAAGTTATATGGCTTACCAAGGATTCATGAAAACAGTTTGCCACTTAGACTGGTCCTCAATATGTCTAGCTCATTATAACATTCAAATGAGAAATGACTGGTGGAACTTTTACAGACATTACATAAGAAACTAGTGAAAAATAGCGTAAAAGATAGCTTTGAGTTTGTAGAAAGAATGAAAGAATTAATGTGAAGGACACATACATGATATCATTGAATGCATCTTCCTTACTCACCAATGTGCTTTTGATGGAAACAATCGATTTACATAGGTAATGAATTCACTAGACCCAATCCTAGTGGAGTTTTTTCCGGCGAAATTGGAGAATGCTCCTCTTAAAGTTGTGATATATAATCTTGATTTCTGTTGCCGATATGTTGATGATACATTTATAGTTGTGAAGAAAGAAAGTGTGATTAAGGGCATACTGGATAAATTGATTAGAGGACATCCAGAAAAAGCATTAGAAGAAAATGTCTCTATCTCCTTTTTTGGACGTTCTAATGACTAAACAAACAGACGGAACAATTTGTAGACCTTTACACTTATGAATTAAAAAGTCAGGAAGGATAGCTTCTAGTGTTAGATTGAAGCGTAAAAAGGAAAGAAGATGGGAAGCTAAACACTAGTGTTTACAGAAAACTCACACATTTAAACAGAAATTTGGACTTCCGATCATCCCACCCTATGTCAGTAAAAATAGGATTGGTGAAATGTAAGTGAAAGAGCACAAAAACTAAGTAGTACCAAGGAGAATTTAAGACAGGAAGTGATTCACATAAAAGAAGCCTTGAAACTTAATAATTATCCGGATAAATTAGTCAGGAAATATGTAAGTAAATGTAAAAATAAAATAAAAAATGATAGTAGCGATAGTGATAATAATAATAATGATAACACCAGTAGTGATAATAATAATATTGATGACGATACCAACAATAAGGAATCTAAATCATCAGTAGTAATCTCATACAAGAAAGGAACCTCGGAAGCCTTAAGCAGAATTCTTAACAAGGCAGGAATAAAGGTGGCATTCAAACCTACAAACTCAATTAGAAAAAAGCTTTGTCAGTTAAAGGATCCTGCCAGTGGAGCCAAGGAAACAAAACAGTTTAGTTTATCTAATACCCTGCCTGCAATGATTGTAAGGTCAGAGTAGTAGAACAGGTGCAGTCAGACCAGTCGAGCTTAGAAACCTAGTTAAATCTAGATTGATTGACCTGAATAAGAAGAAACCTAGAGAATATTTCAGCCATAGCACTATATGCAATTACACACAACCATACAATATGATAGGATAAGATGTCAGTTTTAAAATCTTATGTCACAGGGTGGAGGGAGAGATTGATAACAGAAGCTTTGTTTATCGAATAAACTGCAAACGCGTGTAATAGGAATGATTCATCACCTGTCCCAGATATCTGGAAAATTCTACTACCCCAACGACGACAAATAGGAGAGAACAAAGAAAACTATAAAACTCAAGTCTCAAAGTCGTGTGATTACAATTGATATGATTGTGAACAATAAATTTTGTTCGAAACTTTGTCATTCAGTAAATAATACTGTTTCTCTGTGTGATACATCTAATAAACAAACTAATATGGAATTTACACAGAAAACCTACTTCCACTGGACAACATACTGACTTTCTGAGCTTCGTACCTCTACAAAACAAACATAGTCTGGTTAGACGTCTGGTTCACTGGGCTGGAGTTATCTATTCAAATGATACACTAAACGAAGAAATCGGTAATAGTCGCGATCTACCAAGTAGAAACGGATATCCAACCAAATTCGTGAACAAACACGTAGACTCAGAAAGTAGAAAGTCGAAGTTGCTGACTATTCCCAAAAAATCAGTCTTTCTAAAATTACAAATCAAGATTGATGTTAATAGGGAGATCTTATCACAACCTCTGAGAAAGGCCTTCAGAAGGACTTTTAAGTCAGCTAAGCTACTAGCTGACCAATTCTTAGTTCAAGAAATAAAGACAAACTGCCCTGTAACTCCTCTTTCAGGAGTATTTACCAGTTTAATTGCCCGTGCGGAGCTAGTTACATCGGGCGTATGATCAGGCAAGTTCATCGTCGAATTTCTGAACATCTCCCATCTTGGTTTGGTAGAGGTCCAAATAAAG